ATTTATATTCTATATTTATTATTTTTTTTTTTTAATCATTTACATTTAATATTTTTTTTTTTATATTTCAGGTCTTATATTTTATATTTATATATATACTAAATATTTCAGACTACCCCAAAGAGTATGTTCTCCAACTCCTTCAATACTTTATACAAATGTTATTCCTCAAGCATATTTCATACTTGCTTGGATGCTTCTTCTGCTTCTGAAATTTGGTTTAGCAAATATACGCCTCGAGCATATTTCATATGTTTCATTTATGATACCCCCTGCCTACCCCCTTCACTGCTACAGGGTATAATGATGACGCTGACGCAACGACGACACAAGCTGRAAAATATGCAATGCCTGCTGCTGCTGCTTCAGCATTTGGCTTCACTTCATGCGAACGGAGCGAAAGGAGCGAGGGGAGCATTTCTCGACGGACTTGGAACATCATCGTCATAGTCGTCCTCGTCCTCGTCCTCGCCCTCGCCCTCGCCCTCGTCTGCGTCCTCGTGCTCGTCCTCATCCTTGCAGCCGTCATCCACATAGCCAGCGTCCTGGAAATGAGTGAAGCTAAAGCGAACTGGCTGCCAGAGTGGCATTTAATGCACAGTCAGTCGGACAGCTGCGATAGCTGAACAGGGTAAGGGTGCGGAGGACGTAGGGATGTTCTCCTTTTTGTTATAGCCAGCGATAGTGCGCAACATGAGCCAAAATATTTGCTATTGGGTGTTGCTGCCACTGCCAGTGGTTTTGCTGCTGCTGCTGCTGCTGCCGTAACTGCTGCTGTTGCACGTTTCATTGCTGCTGGGACAGGCGACATGTGTGTGGGCAATAGATGCCGTCCTTTTGTCAGGCTTGTCATATTTCATTTCGGCCATAACCTAATACCTTGAATGCGACGCTGAGCACACGCCTGGCCACAAACTGAAAGTCCGTCCTAATGCGTCCCACTTTCGGTGGTGCTAGTGGTGTTGGTGGCGTTGGTGGCGTTGGTGGTTGGCACAAGCAACATGCATGCAAATTCCACAACGTCTTCATGCCTGGCCACACATGTCGGCCAAGCAGGCTTGTCGACTCAATGAGCAAATGAAATTTATTTCATTATAAAACAGGCTCGATTCACCCAACCAGAGCCAAGGCACGGCCGGCCAGGCGTCGCTCCGGCCAGGCCAAACATTTGTTTTAGCAAAAAGCCGCAAGAAAATTTCATTTTGAAATATGCTTTCTGAAATAATTTCG